CCAACTGTATAAAAATTACAACCTTGGTAGAAAATCACTTTTCTGTGACAGAAAAGGTCTAGGTTACTTAAAAAAAATGGAAATAAGTTCAGCTAACTTCCATACAGTTATATATGACCATACAACCAATTTCATTAACTGTAGCCTGAACCAATGAGCTGAACCCCAAATGTATGGGGAAAATACCTGGCGAAACCTTCTTGGCCACCTAATGGCTGACATTAACACTGGAAACTTTGCCTTTGGGTGCTCTGAGATCAATTTTTCACAATGTAGATTTAGATTTAGGAATGTAACCCAGTTGATAATATCAAATCCTGCTTCCAGGTTTCCATTTTGATCAAAGGAAATCAAAGCAACAAGGCAGAATCTTGAAATATTGGGTTATTACTTAGATAACCACATAAAAGTACTTCTAATCTGATAATCAGAATAATGCAATAGTTTGAGAAAGAGCCAAAGATGCTTTTTCAAGAGGCACCTGGGCTTTCTTGTTTTTCTTTGAAGATGTTTTGCTTTTCAAAATGTCTTCAAAGAAAAACAAGAAAGTCCAGTTGCCTGTTGAAAAAGCACAGTTGGGACAACTATGACCTGGATGCCTAAGAATCTCCATAGACATTTAGTTTGAGAAAGGAATGGACACACAGCAAATGGCTCTAAATCAATACATTTATTTTCTATCCCAACCAAAATCTAGTATTACAGTCCTGTAAGTAACTAAATCATAATCACAATAATCTAATTCAAACATTTCCACTACTGCAACGCCATCTCCTGGTTTGAGGCAATGGCTTTACAGTAGAATTGTGTGTTGTTATATCAGTTGGTGCCATCTCCAATATTAAATTAGTTATATTTTCCCCTCATATTCTTGTTATGTTTACCTTTTAAAAAGAACAAAAACATTATGCAAGTAATTCTATGTAATAATATGAAAAGTTAACATGTTTGTAGGTACTGAAATCAGCTGGCTATGGATTTTGGCCAGAAAAGATCTGATTCACTGCAAAATGCTTTAAAAAATTATCTAAGGGCCATACAACTATTTTTATGATCTGCATCCTGAATGAATAATATGACCCCAACTATATAGGAAAGTTAATTTGGTGCATTAGTTAAAATGCTGGCCTAGAAACCAGAAGAATGTTAATTCTAGTCCTGCCATAGGCATGACAATTGACTGCATGACTCTGAGCCATCACTGTTTTTCAGCCCAATACACCTCACAGGGTTGTAGTAGGCAAAATAGGAGCAAGAAGGATTATTAAGTAAGTTTGGCATCTTGAGTTAAAATACTAAAGGTTGGAAAAGTATAATAAAGAAATATTGAAAATACCTGGTTAAATGTCTTTGGCCACCTAATGGTATCCACAAAAACATTGAACACCTGGTCTTCAGGAGCTCTGAGATCAAATTTTCCCACTTTGACTCGATGTAGACTTAGATTTGGGAACGTGATCCAGTTGATAATATCGAATCCTGCTTCAAGATTCCCATTCTGATCGAAGGAAATCATTTCCCCTACACTATTGTTAAATGAGACTTTTCGTAGATGGTAGTGGAACTAAATTGTCAGTGGAACAAAAAGAAATAAGTGATAAAGCTATACAAAAATTATACAAATATTATAATACCTTATAAGGGTAAGTGTATTTGAGAAGTCAGAATTAGCTATATCTATACAAATTATCAATAATTGCAATTCAACATCACAGTTCACCTGAAGTGGTATTAATGATAAAAAAAATAATATGACAAAGATATGAGCACAATATAGTTAAACCAAGAATATCATTAATTATAACTATGCATGTTATACCAATAGAAACATAACAGAAAAAAGAAATAGCAAAAGAAATGAATCAATAGTAGTAACCAAGGTAAGTTATCTATTATAACTATCCACAGTGGTGCAGTGGTTAGAATGCAATGCTGCAGGCTACTTCTGCTGACTGCCAGCTGACTGCACTTTGGCAGTTCAATTCTCACTGGCTCAAGGTTGACTCAGCCCTCCATCCAGAGGTGATATTCAGCAGGTTCTGACCAGTTCTAGAGAACTGGTAGCAGAAATTTTGAGTAGTTCAGAGAACTGGGAAATACCATTTCTGACTGGCCCCGCCCCCATCTATTCTTTGCTGATTGGCTGGGTCTCCTTTTGTTGCCCTGCACAGGAGAACAGAACTGGAAAGCAGGTTAGTAGGGTGAGGAGGGAATGGAGATTTTACAGTATCTTTGCCCTGGAATGGGGAGGGAATGGGGATTTTACAGTATCCTTCCCCTGCCACGCCCACCAAGCCATGTCCACAGAACTGGTAGTAAAAATGTCCTCAGAACTGGTAGTAAAAATGTTTTGAATCCTATCACTGCTTCCATCCTTCCAAGGTGGGTAAAATGAGGACCTAAATTGTTGGGGGCAATATGCAATAAACCTCTTAGAAAGGGCTATAAAAGCACTGTGAAGTAGTATATAAATCTAAGTGTTATTGCTATTATATTAACCAGCTTGAATAGAAAAAAAAATAAATGAAATGCAGAAAAACAAAATAATGTCATTGGATTTTTCAGATGATAAGAGAGCCAGTGCTCTCCTGTCTCTGAATTCACTAAAATCCATACTTTAGGCTACCCATTAAAGTAAGTTCATTTCCTCTAGTTGGGGTTAATGGGAAAAAGCTATGCTTTTGGACCTTTTTACATAGGCAGTAAACTAATATCTAACCATATGTTGGAGGCTGAATTACATAAACTTTATGTATTCAGGATATTACCTGCCACAGAAATGAATTCAGAAGGTTCTTATGTCCTCCCTGTGACATAATTCCATGTTTCAGTATTGATGATCTCATGGATTGCAATGCATAGGCTACAGCATATGCTGCATTGTAGACACTATAGCTATGGGAGGACGTGCTCATCTCAAAAATAGACCTAGGAAGAGTCTCCAGCTTCTCCTCCCCACTGCAGAGATTCCAAACATTTTCCTCTTCCAAGGAAGTTGGGAAGGAACAATCAAATATCTGTTTCCAAAAGTCCTTAATAAAACCATCTCTTGTTTCCACATAAGGGTTTCTCATCTGAAGAAAATTGTGGAAACCTACCAGCTCCTTTGATTGAGTTGCAAAGGCTAAGGAACCATGAAGGATATCTATGTCCCAAAATCGTTGAAAAGGAACAGAAGTGAACTCCATTTGGGCTGTCATCATCCAGAGTTTACCATTTGAGTTCCTAGGAATGTATTCAAGTTCTGGAATTCTGGGAAACATTCTCAAAACGATCATAGTATGAATTTCCCCATGCAAGACTACAACACTGACTTTGCTATCACTTATCAAGAGGTACAATTTGACCCATGAGTCTACCATTTCATGAATGCCAGTTTTAAAATATAGAGGTGGCAATGGTTCTATGAAATCAAAACAGATTCCCCCTTGGGAAAACTTTGGAAGTTCCTTCTGTACAAACCTGAGGCCATTGTCATCTTCTATAAAAATGACGCCAATCCAAGTCCACGTGAAAAGCAAAAGCAGCTGGAGCATCCCCACATACTGTTGGTTAATATTAGGGAACATCCATTGGAAGAAGACATGTTGGGATGGATCATTAATCACAGGAGAAGAACCATATCCAAGCTATAAAGAAAAGAAAGACTAAGTAGATAGGATGAGTGTGGGTACAACTTGTATTGTCCAAAGGGAGGATATCCATGTCATATTTTGAGAAAGAATGGAAGAAGAAGAAGAAAAGTAGGTAGGATCAAGACCTGTTAGGGTGGACATTAACATGGCATTTTGCTTATTTTGATGTACATGCATACAAATGCACAACTCTCATACAATCCTGGTAAATGCTTTTGCTGTAAAATATTGTACCATCCATCCAATCTCCCAATTCATAATATCAGGAAACTATAGGTATTTGTTATGCTGTGTGTGTGTGTGTGTGTGTGTGTGTGTGTGTCCATGTCCATGTCTACATTTCTGCCTATTCTCAGCTTTTAAAGGTTTATCAGAAGGGAGATTTTGTATGTTTGTGCTATCAAAATTTATACTGCACAACCCAATCAAAAGATAATGTAGCCACATATCACACATTCTAATGAATATTAAAATCTTCTACATTGTGAACAAATAGATCTATATCTATATTCTCTGTCTATGTTTATCTATGTCTGTCTGTCTGTCTGTCTATCTATCTATCTATCTATCTATCTATCTATCTATCTATCTATCTCTATCACTATATCTATCTATCTATCTATCTATCTATCTATCTATCTATCTATCTCCATCCATCCATCCATCCATCCATCCATCTATCTATCATCTATATATGTGTACACAAACACACAAACACACACCACCCTGACTGGCATTAATTTCATTTTGTTACCAATAGAGGATGTGGAAATTCACTCCAGCTTCTTGTTCTTCAAGGTTTGGGTCAACTTCTTCCAAAGTTATGGAGGTCTATTAATGTGATTCATAGGGTATCACTTTTTAAGATGCTATTCCAGTATTTTTATACATTCTATTACAAATTATCCATTATGATCTGTAATGTTTATACATGTTATATCACACACAGAAACTATATCAAGGCTGAAGGGACACCCTTCTAGTTTTTTCAGACTCTAAGCGCTATGTTCACATCTTACCTGTGGTAGCTTGTAATTGCTCAGAATAGTTGCCATAAAGAAACTCACATCTGAATCAGGTCCCCCAATGACTGCAACAATATTATCTTTATTATCACACTTGTAGTTCGGGATAAAGTTGCTCCATGTGGAGAGAAGCTCCAGTGAGGCGAGATATATCCAACTTGCAACAAAATGGCTGTTATAGATGTGGAAGCCCAGGGAGATATTGGATAATATCTGGGAATTTCCATTAATCTCCATTATGGCAAACGCAAAGGCCAGGGTATGCTGGTAAATCTGAGTCACAAATCTGCAGTGTGATTTATACGTTGAATAATTTCAGAAACTTGCTAAATTTTCTTCCAAAACTTTAGGCCATACAATCAGAGTTGTCTTAAAATATCATTTTAACAGTAATATTTATTTGGAAGCCATGGATGGACTCATTCCCATTTGGACTATTCAAAGCTCATCTTTCTATTTTTTATTCATTTATTTGCATTCACCCATGCATCTTCAGTGGGGGAAATCACTCAGTGTCTATGTATTTATAATTCACTTAACAACCATGTCACTATCTTAACAACTGCAGTGGTTCACTTAACAATATTGGCAAGAAAAGTCATAGGATGGGACAAACTCACTTAACAATTTTTTCAGCAACATAAATTTTGGGCTCAGTTGTGCTTATAAGTTGAGGACTACCTATAATCAATATCATATGATTTCCTTTAAGAAATCTCTCAAGTAGGCAAGGGGTTGAATCTTGCCTAGAAAATATTTTCATGTCTGACATTTTTTGCATTTGGTATTGCGAAATATTATGTGGAGTATATTGTATGTTAGAAAGAAAGAAAGAAAGAAAGAAAGAAAGAAAGAAAGAAAGAAAGA